CCCCCTGCTTCGCCGCTGTGTCGCCCTGACGGGCCAGACTCTCGAACAGGTTCGCGCAGGTACCTCCCGTCCTGCGCACTCCCGGTCCACGGTGCCCCTTCTTCGGCGTTCGTGGACTCCGCAGCGGCGCTCTTCCTAGCATCGCCGCGATCAGCGGCACCCTCCATGGTGCCAGCTGGCTCCTCCTTCTTGCTTGCCTGCATGGTATCTTCCACTAGCGACATTAGCTGGCTCATCTGATCCGTCAGCGAGCTAACTTGCGTCCTCAGGGCCACGAGCTCTTTTCTTGACCTCTTTCTGTCTTCCGCCGCAGAGTCGCTGGAGGAGTCACCCCCATCTTTGCGACCTGACATTCCTAATGGACTCTCCGTCGAGGGACTGACACTAGTGTGTTCGTATATGTCCTTTACTTGGAAGGGGAAGACGTTTTATCTCTTGTATTAGGCACGCAAGTGGAGTAGGGAGAAGTGAAGCCCTATTTGGAGTTCGAGGGGTCCCCGCACATGCAACCATTTCAAGGTGTACATATGCCCCATCTGCGTGCCCTCCGTTGTTGCCGGTAGATCTAACCAGTCCGTATCCAAACACACGAACAGGCTGATCTGCCCCAAGAACCACCCCATACCACGCCTCAAAAACACGCGACGCTAAATCAATGCGCGATCCAGCTTTCATGTCATCGTCTAGGTCGACGTCATCGTCGCTGTCTAGCTGTGACAGGGGGTTTTGAACATCGCCGTGGTCATCACCTAGCAAATGAAGCGATGTGAAAAAAATTGTCGAGAAAAAGCCGGCGTGAGACACGCGCGTTTGAACAAATTCACAGCCCCCCACCAGTGCATGCAAAACGAGGGGCAAAGGCGGAATACAAACCGGACCTAGACTCGAAAACTTACCATCGTCATGTGCGCTTGCGTCGCTGTCGCAGCTTGATTCGCCACTGCCCGCACCCCCATCGTCGTCGCCGACCTCATCATCCTGGTCGGGCATCTCCTCGCCATTGCTCGTGCCCCCGTCCATGAAGTTGTACGCCCCAACTACACCCTCAGGAGCGATGCGGTCGTCCAACGACCCGTCTGCCGTATCGCCAGTCCGGTCTTCTCGAACAGTCGATGGCGGTACCCAGGCCGAGCGTCCATTCGCGCGACCGCCCTTGCAATGAATCGCGTGAAAAGAATTCGCCTTGCACCAGCTGAAAACTTGTTGGTCTCCCACAGGCAAAGATTTTTCTCGTGACCGAGCAATTCATCCAGCTCGTTACCGACTTCGACTTTGAGGAGGCGTCCATAGCCGGCATCGACCAGTTGGAGTTCGTCGGTTAACTTGGGGGGAAGTAGCCACAGGAGCGTGTCGCACTCGCCGTGAAGGAATTTCTTGAACTCGTCCGTTGTCTGCGCGTGCAGGTTGTCCGCGAAAAGGATGGACTGCTCCCCTGGAACGACACCTTCCTCCCCCTTGATGCTGCGTAGGAAACTGTTTTTTGCCCACGCCATGCACGTTGGGCCGTCCATCCACGCGTTCTCCTGGAAGAGCACGTCCACGCCGGGGTCGTGCGCCGCCTTCTCCACCGCCGAGACTTTGCCTTTGCCGCGGAAAATGACCGCGGTCCGCATTAAATTGTCGCCAGCTCCGATGCAACAGTTGACGGTGCATTGTCGCTTCTCAAGACCAGGGAACGGCTGCCCAATTTGCACTCGCAAAGCTCCCGTCCCGTCCCATTTCGAGTCGAGGCCGTCGACGATTGCGAGCCCAACCTGGTCGACGTTGAAACGCGCAGTCAGGCTGAAGCGCCCGTAGAGGGGCGATTCCACAGGAACGATCGCAGCGCCGTTGTTCTCGGCGGCGCCCCCTGCAGCGGCCCGGCGAACGGGTGGTTCCTGCAGCAGCTGGCGCAGCCTCCTGCGGAAGCTCTTCATCTGCGGAAGACGGTCCTCCACCGACTTGTTCTTCATGTTTGTTCGCCTTCGTTTCGAGAGATGGTGGCGCTTCGCGAACTTCATGCACCACCGGTCCGACGCTGAAAAGTTCTTTGCACGCGGGTCGTCCGGATACATTTCCACCACGAGCTTCTCGCGTTCACTCGAATCCAGGCTGTCGACACTCTGAGCTCCCTCTTGCGCCGTTGCAGCAGCAGCGAGTGCAGCTTCATCTCTGCGTCTCCGAACCACCTCCCCTCCCTGCCAGTCTTGAAAAGGTCTTTCTTCAAGTCATTGGCCGCGGCTGCGATCAGCTTCTCTGCGTCACTGTTCCACTTGCAGATGTTGGGTTGGGGAATGCCGGTCTCNCTTTGCACGCGGGTCGTCCGGATACATTTCCACCACGAGCTTCTCGCGTTCACTCGAATCCAGGCTGTCGACACTCTGAGCTCCCTCTTGCGCCGTTGCAGCAGCAGCGAGTGCAGCTTCATCTCTGCGTCTCCGAACCACCTCCCCTCCCTGCCAGTCTTGAAAAGGTCTTTCTTCAAGTCATTGGCCGCGGCTGCGATCAGCTTCTCTGCGTCACTGTTCCACTTGCAGATGTTGGGTTGGGGAATGCCGGTCTCCCTTGCCAGGAACTG